AGGTTGCCCATCTTTCTTCCTCAGCTCATGACCTTGAACCTCTAGAGAGGCATGGCCTTGGGTTAGCGGTACATGTCTACATGGACTACCACTCCTGTAGTAGAAGAAAGACACAGGTCTTTTGACTGGAAGAGCCCTCCACATGTTGAGAATGATAATGATATCTTTAAAACTGTGTGTGTGTGTGTGTGTGTGTGTGTGTGTGTGTGTGTGTGTGTGTGTGTCTTTTGGTGAGATTTCAGATATAGATGAGAATTAAAACTTCAAATATTTCAGAAGAAAAGATAATAACTTACCTACAAAGAAATAATAATCTTATTAGTTGAAACTACAAGTTATAGAAAAAAAAGTCTTAAACATTCTGAAAGAAAATTCTTTTGACTCAACAGTTCAAGCAATCAATAATATTTGAGGACAAAATAAAACTCTTCTTCAGCAAGAAGGAACTCAGAAATTCTGTTTACACCATTGTACCAAAATATTAGTCCAGCAAGTATTGTATCATATTCCAAAATGAAGAAAGAAGATGAAGTGACACTCAAGCCATGTTGGTTGCTGGTTGAGAACCCAAAGGATGTAGAAAAGGCCATTCCAAAAGTAAAGTAACATAGTTTACCTTCGAAGTTGTAGTAATGGGATTATATTTCGTTTATGATGTAGACAAATGTACCACTTGGTTCCTTAGGGCATACTATTTATATACTCACTGGACATGCTCACTAATCTATACAGAGAAATATGGAAGACGGCTACCTGACCAACTTTTTGGAAGAGATCCATATTTGTTTCCTTTCCTCCAAAAGGTGATTCAACAGAATGTGGAAATTACAGAACAATTACCATTATATCACAAGTGAAATCTTTCTGAAGATTATTTAAAAACAAACAAACAAACAAACATCACTGATAGGGAACTTGCAGAAATTTTCATTGGATTTATAAAATACTGTGTCAGAGGGCTATCATTTCATTAGATGGATTTTGGTAGAAAGTACAGAATACCAGAAGGAAAGTTATTTGTTTGTTATTGGTTATTAACTATATAAAGCCATTTGACTGTATGGATCATAACGAATAATGGGTAGCACTGGGAAGAATGGACCAGAACATATAATTGGGCCCATGACAAACATATACATAGACCAAGAAGTTGTTGTCCATACAGAACAAGAGAACACTCCATGGTTTAAAATCAGGAAACATATGCATCTGGGTTGTAGGTTTTCTTCATACCTATTCAATATGTATGCTGAAGAAATCATTCAGTAAATTGGGCTATGTTAAGAATAATATGGTATCAGGTTTAGAGGAGGACTTATCAACAACCTGCATTATGCAGATGGCACAACTTTGCTTGCTGAAAGTGAAGAGGACTTGACACCATATGGCAGAAGATCAAAGACTACCACCTTCAATGTAAATTACACCTCAACATTAAAAAAACAGTAATTCTCAATACTGAGCTAATAGAAAATATAACATATGGAAAAAAGATCAAGGTTATCAATGATTTCTACAATCAACATCCTTGTTACCAGCAATCAAGGAATCAAGAGACGTGTTAAATTGGGGAAATCAAGGACTTCTCCAAAGTGCTAAAAGAACAGTGATATCATTTTAAAGACTAAGGTACCTCATCCAAGCCGTGATTTTTTCCAGTTACTTCCTATGCATCTGAAAGTTGGTCAACGCATAAGAGTGACAGAAGAAAAATCAATGCAATGAATTGTGTTGAAAAATATCACTGTATACTCCTTGGTATATAAAGAAAACAAAAACCAAAAACCAAGTCTATCTTGGAGGTAGTACAACCAGAATGAACCTTAGAGGCAAGAAGGAAAACACTTCCTCTCACATACTTTGAGGATGTTGTTAGGAGGGGTCAGTCCTTAGAAAAATATACTATGCTGGGAAAGGTGGAGCGTCAGAAAAAAAGAGAGGAAGATTCTCAGCAAAGTGGATCGACTATAACAATCAACTATAACAAGGTGGAGTGACGATAACATAGCAGAGATGATGAAGATGGAGCAAGATAGGGCAAGGTTAAGATCTGTTGCTCACGGGGCTGCTGTGACCTGGAAGTTGACCTGATGACACCTAACATCAATCACACTATAAATGCTGATTATTGATTTACAGGGTTAAAAAATAACCTATGACATATGTTTACCTTTGTTTTACAAAACAGAGTGACTTGCAAAAATATATAACTAAAGAGGTAGGAGATGTGAAAAAAGAGGTAAAAGCAATATACTGATGTCCTTCTTTCATAGGTAATAGTAGTATTTCAGGACTGGCTTGTGAAGATATTCTTCTGTGGTAGTTTCATGTTTGCCAGGAAATCTGTGGATCTAAGGAATTCTGAAGCAATTTTTAAGCCAATTTCTCTCCTCACAATTTCCTTACCAAATGTTGTTGTTATGTGCCATCGAGTTGCTGGCAACTCATAGCGACCCTATGTACAACAGCCCTAAACTCTGTTCTGTCCTGTGCCAATCACACTGTCTCTGATACACCCATCCCGATTACCCCAATCGCTGAATCAATCCACCTCCTAGAGGGCTTTCCCCTCCTGTGCTGTCCCCTCCACCCTACCAAGCATGATATCTCTCTCCAAGGACCGGTCCCTCCTTACAACATGCCCAAAGTATGTTAGACCGAGCCTCAGAATCCTTGCCTCCAAGGATCTGCCCAGTTTAACACTTTCAAGGATGAAACTGTTTGTTTTCCTAGCAGTCCATGATACCCTCAATTCTATTCTCCATCACCACAGCTCAAAGGCATCAATTCTCCTTCTAGTCTCCTTGGTCACTGTCCAACTCTCTGATGCATAACAAGTGATAGCAAAGACCAGGGCCTGTATCAGACGCACCTTAGTCTCTAAAGAGACACCATTGCTCTTCAGTACTTTGGAGAGGTCCCTAACAGCAGACTTTCCCATAACAATATGTCTTTTCATTTCCTGGCTACTGGTGCCAAGAGTATTGACTTTGGAGCCAAGCAAACTAAAGCTGTGAATAATCTCAATCTCTTCACCATCCATCCTGATGCTGCCAAGTGGCCCAGTGGTGAGAATCTTTGTCTTCTTGACATTGAGCCTCAATCCATATTGGAGGGTGCAGTCCTTGACACTCTGCAGCAGCACCTCAGGTCCTCCTCAGTTTCAGCAAGCAGGGTTGTGTCATCTGAATATCGCAGATTGTTGATAGATCTTTTACCAATCTTGGTCCCACATTTCTTCTCATAGAGCCCAGCCTCCCGGATAATCTGTTCTGCATACAGGTTAAAAAGGTTTGGAGACAGGACACACCCCTGGCGCACACCCTTCTCAATTTTGAACCATGCAGTGTTCCATTGCTCTGTTCTGACGACTGCCTCTTGGTTCAAGTATAGGTTTCTCATTGGCATGATCAAGTGTTCTGGGATTCCCATTCTTCTCAGAGTTAGCCACAGTTTGTTATCATCCACAGTCAAACGCCTTTGCATAGTCAATGAAACACAGATATACATCCCTCTTGTATTCCTGCTTTCATCTAACACTAGCTACAATATCCCTAGTACCACGACCTCTTCTAAACCCAGCCTGGACTTCTGGCAGTTCTCTGCTGATGTGCTGTTCAAATTGTTTTTGGATAATCTTCAGTAGAATCTTGCTTGCATGTGAAATTAATGATATTGTTCTATAGTTTCCACACTCTGTTGGGTCACCCATCTTTGGGATTGGAACAAATATAGATCTCTTCCAGTGAGTTGGCCAAGTGGTTGTTCTCCAGATTTCTTGGCACAACTTTGTGAGCACATCCAGGGCAACATCTATTAGCTGAAATATCTCAATTGGTATGCCATCTGTTCCTGGGGCCTTATTTTTTGCCATTTCCTTCAAAACAGCTTGAACTTCTTCCTTCATCACCATAGGCTCTTGCTCATATGTTATTTCATGAAATTCTTCTGTGTCTGCCAATTCCTTTTGATACAGTGACTCAGTATATTCCTTCCATCTTCTTTTAATACTTCCTGGAGCATTTAATATTCTGCCCAAAGCATCCTTGATTATAGCAACTTAAGGTTTGAATTTGTTCTTCAATTCCTTGAGCTTAAGAAATGCTGAGCAAGTTCAGCCCTTCTGATTTTCTGACTCCAACTCCTGGCACATTCCAGAACCAGAATCTATGATGGTGATGGCCTTTTTTTTTTGTCCTAGTATAATAATTTAACACAGTTTAGATGAATCAAAAAATAAAAATTTCTGAAGAAATTATATTGACAACATATAATAAACTCATAGTTAATTTTTTATGCAATACCAGTCCACCTCTTTAAACTTGAGAAAAACGAGGTGCAAAAATTATTTATGTTGAAATCCAGAGTACTTTAAGGCATTAAAACTCCTTGTTGTTCAACTATTTTAATTTTACTAAGTTGGAGACTGGTGCTTTTGAATTACAAGAAAACTTGTGTTCATTTGTGTTACTGTTAATTTTAGCTTCATGATCTAAGACCTTAGCAGTTAGCTCACCAGTCTGATGGTAACCTATGTCATATATTGTGAAGTGTTTTGGTCATGGTAATTCTTTCATGCACAAGTAGAAAATTAAAGGACTATTTTTTTGTATGATGCTCTTAGTAGAGACAGTGGTACACTCTGCCTGGACATATCTTCCCTTGTCAACAATTTTCTTCTGTTTCCCTTTCTTTTAAATCCTGTGATCTGTTTACAGATTCTTAATAATTGCTTCCACACCTTAAAATTTCTTCAACTGGCAAAGCACCTGTTTTGTTCATTATACACAAGCCAAAGCCCAAACCAATGGGAGTTGAGTTGAATCCAACACATAGTGACCCATTTTACAATTTTCTTGTTACCTTTCATTTTTCTCAAATGTGAATTTTTTGAGAGTTTCCTTCTTTTCCATGTTTTATACAGGTCATATACAAGGTAGACAATTTATATTTACTTGACTAATTTAAATAATAATGATTTATTTTGTGTTCTTTTTGCTGAACAGAGTGTCCTGAAATCACCAGAAGAAGAGCCTTAACCTGAAGGTCCAGCACATTATTTACACTGAAGGAGCTCGTGTGTGTGGACTAGAAAGCGCTGACAGCTCAAATGGATCCTGTGGAACTGAGCAATGTCAACATTGAACCTGATGATGAGAGCAGTAGCGGAGAAAGTGTTCAAGACAGCTACACCGGGCTGGGGATGTCAGAGAAGGCAGCCATGAGCAGGTATGGGGTTAAAGTCACCAACTCTCATGGAAAAAAAAAATAGATTTATGGAAGTCGAAAAACAAGACCTTGGACAGAAGATTTAGGTTATTACTGTATTTAACAATGGTACTATGTTAGCAGTGCAAGTCTCTGATCCTGAAAGGCAATGGTAATAATAATGCTAATCTTTTATGGACCAATTTGAGCCTTTTCGTGTAATAAGCCAAGACTCAAGTTCATTGCCATCAAGTCAGTTCTGACACATGACACCTCTCCAAGGGATTATAAATCTTAATTGGAGAAGACTGCTGAAAGTTGTCTTCCATGGAGCAGCTGGGGGATTCAAACCACTGACTTTACTGTTGAAAGGCAACTTGTAATACTCTGTGCCCCCAGGATTCCTTTTCTTGTGCTAAAGGCTAAATAAGAACCATGTGCTCATCTACACATTCCATTTACTGACTTGCAGATACAATTCTTAAGAACTGCCTGTAGTTACCACTACCATCAATAGTACAGTCAGACCATTTAACTTTTTTTTTTTAAAAAAAATTTTATTTTTGTGTGAGTGTACTGTCAAATCGGATCTGACTGGTACAGGAGGAGATTGTCTCTCCTTCCCCGGCAGAGCATCTGGTGGATTCGAACCAAGCGCCTCTGGGATTGTAGTTGCAGCTCCTTGCCACTAGGCCACCAGAGCTCCCCAGATCAGTTAACTTTAATCCATCCCTTTGCCCACCCCATACACTCGGTAGTCAGCTATCTTCCACTTGGTTCTATCTCATTTACTCTCCCCTCTCCATGTGTTCCAGTCTATAATCATAATTGAAAGAGCCTTCCGAGCACTCATAGACACTTGCCTTTTATTCTCCCTCAAGCATCTGCCAACATTTTGCAATTTTATAATCCTCAAAAAGATGAGGTTTGCCTTGATCATTTAGTGTAAATATTTGAGAATTCTGACTTAATGCATTTATTTGGAATCATTGTACTTAAGCTTTGCATGTATGCTGGGTTTAGTAGCAGAACACTTAAAACATGTATCTCTCATATATGTTATATAATTGTTACATGTTTTAAGACAGTAACTCATATAATGATAAAGAAAGAACATAAAAATGCTTCAGAAAAGATTTAAAAATCTACTTATTAAGAAACTGTAAAATTTTTCAAACTACTTAGAATACAAGCCTCTAGTTTCTTGATATTACTAAACAATCGGAAGTTGGACAATCGCGTTTATCCGAGATGATAACACTTGTGTTTTTACAGTCTTTAGACTCATCTCAGGTTTTGTTTTATCCTATTGCCTCACTTTCCAGTTATGAAAATTGTGTCCCAGTCTTCCGACAATAAGTAGATCTTTAAAAAGTCAGGGAGGGGCCAGGAAGATGAAAGTAGAAAGGTTATGAAGGCCTTATGTTACCATGTTTTTCCCATGACAAATATTAGAATCCTTGGAAATTCTCCTAATTCATATACTATGATAATTGCTAGAGTTCTAGAAAAGTGAAGAAAATTATTTGGTTTTATTTCTCCTTGTATTTACAGTTTATATTATTATCTGGTCTCAAAATAATCTTGTCATCCTCTTTTTCCACCAGGTTATTTGAAAAATATTATTTTTATAACTAAAGGTTTAATCATTATACTACAATAATTATTTTCTGCTTTTGATTTTTCAGGGCTGTTTTTAAAGCACACTCTAAGTATTTTACTCTTTCATGCAAAAAATATCCTAAACATTGTTATTTATCTACTGAGAAAGCACTATTTAAAAGCATGCACAATTGAACATTTGTAAAATGAAAACAAAGCCTGATTGATGTTTTCCAATGTTAAAAATGCCTTAGTGGCAGCTGGAGTCTTTAGGCAAGGTTTTTGGAGAATTTGGCCAGCATAGATCAATAACCATAAAACCCTTAGACTGTGAGTATAATACAGACAGGAGAGAGATCTATCACCCAGCTGTACAGCTTCTAGCCTGTGTTAAAATTGGCCCAGTGTTCTGTTGTGTACTGTCAACTCAGAACCAACTCATAGCTGACCCTCTGATAGGTTTTCAGAAGCTTTAAATCACACAGGGGGAGATATCTCTTCCCATATCTCTTCCATGTGCCTTTGAGTTGGCAGTGCAACTCCCTTTCTCCAGCACTTCCACAAATTAATTTAATTTCCCCAATGTTTTTCTTCTCTGTATTCATTAATAACACAGGGAAATTTTCAAAGTCATTAAAACATCAAAACAATCACACACAACACAGTGCTACCGCTAGAATACAGAAAATGGAGAAAGACCAACACTGGTGGTATTTATGTCCCTAGAACTTTGGAACCTATAGAAGACTATAGCTTGTAGCTTAGCCTGTGTGACCACATGAATTATCTTCTCCGAGCTCCCGTTGTCTCATCTTTAGAGCAGGATCTTGAAAGTTCTTGTGGAGAGTTGTTTTAAACATCAAATGAGTTGGGGACCATCGTCCTGGGCCTGTGGTAGGCATGTAATGAATTCCTGAATTTGTAATTTCTAATGGAGACAGAATTAACTCTAACGATTCTCTATCTTGTATAGTGAATTTGGGGAAGAAGAAATGTGGCATTAAAATTTATGCTGAAAACAATATTTTCTCCCTTTATAAATTCCTCTTCCTCCCTCAAAGTATATTTGTAAATGAAGTCTAATTGTTGGTCTGGAAGGGGTATGAGTGGGAAGGAGAAGAAGGAAAAGACTTTTTGATGTCTTCTTTTTCTTACCTCAGTTAAAGTTCTTGGATAATCCTAAGTACTATTTAGGACATTTTCTCAGATGTGTTGATTTTTTAATTTTTTTTTCCTTCAGTCAATTCGCTAATGAAGATGCTGAAAGTCAGAAATTCCTAACAAATGGATTTTTGGGAAAAAAGAAGCTGGCAGAGTATGGTGATGAATATGTAAGTTAATCTATGCTTTTAGGCAGTAAACAGGTCTTGAGATTGTCTGATCTACCTAGGTCTCTGTGGCAAAACAATGTGACTGAAATTTTCCAAGCTTTGATCAGCACATTCTCTGTTTATTCAGGCCCTTACTGGAATAAGGGCTTGTTTTTCCTGTTCGCCATATGGCTGTATAAATCATTTATGAAATGTATTTGTTTTTTTTGAAGAAATCCTTCTAACTAGAATGCAATCCACAATCATTCATACTTTCTCTTCTTTATGTTACTAGACCTGTATTTTTTTACTCAGCCCCTTTTTGAAAACAAGCATGACTTGTTTTTATTGAAGTTGAGTAATAGATTTTACTCACTGTAATTTTTATCTTAGTCTTTGATTTGCGGCTGTAATGTCCTCCAATAAAGGTAGTTTTGAGAGAAAATATAACTTTGAAAAGCTTCTTTGGGTAAAATGCTTGTTATTCTCTTTCCTTTAAGCATCCTGGAACCACCTCCTTCGGAATGTCTTCATTCAATCTAAGTAATGCCATCATGGGCAGTGGAATCTTGGGCTTATCATATGCCATGGCCAACACAGGAATCATATTATTTATGTGAGTCTGCATTCATTGATAAAGTTCATGTATACCTGATATTCTTTTATTAACTGCCCAAAGTTTGATCTTGCTAGACAGGGTGTTCTGAGAAATTTTTAACATTTCATTTTGATAAAATGTAAATTAGAACAAAGCAATCAAATATGGCATTTATTCAGTCATCTCTAACCAAGCTGTATTAAGTTTATACGTTCACTGCCGAAGCAGTTCTACCAGTCAACAAGTACCATCTTACAGAGCCATTTGTTGTTCAGGAAGTGCTTACAAAAATGTTTAGCAGTAAAAAATATCTTTCTCAGAAGCAACTCTGCTTCTGCCTCACAATTAGGACCAAAAAACCCTCATTTTTCACCTGGCCTTTAGGGTTCTCCACGCCCTAGCCCATCCCATAGACCATTCCCCACACCCTGCGTGCCAAGCTTCTTGTCTTTTCCTACTTCTCATGAAGGTGCCTCGTTTTGACCCAAAGGCCTTTGCACGTGATTTTTTCCCCTCTGCTTGGAATCCTCTACTATTTTCACTTCATCTCATAAACTCCTTCTCAGAATTCAGTCGTAACTTTAGTTCTGCCTTTACTGACTTCGGTGACTGGGACAAAATTCCTTAGTATTCACAAACTACAATTTTAATACTTTGTTATATTTGTCGGATTTATTTGCCCAGCATATATCTCCTTTGCTGGGTTAAGATCTCTAGATAGCAAGCCCATGTTGTAACCCTTGTACCTAGCACAAGGAGGTCTCTGTTAAGCTCTGAAGCTTACTGCTGAATCTATACCCTTTAATCATACTTTGTCATATGCTGCCTACTTTTACCAGCACTAGGGAGCTAACTGAGAGAATGGATTCCACATCTGTGACTGACAGCTACAGATGCCTATATGTATTGCAAACAGTTTGGGAAGCTTGATGCTTCCCAAGACACAATTGGCATCAGTGGAATTTTTCATGAGAATAAAATCTAATATTACTCAGATATCAATGTTCATTCAGAACCCAATCCCAAATGAACTGCTGGAGAGTTAAATAACTGTCTAAGAATGCAACATTTATATTATCAGTGTACACTATTTATATTCTAAGCATTACATTTGATTAGATAATCACATAACTATTTGAGGGCTAAGGATCAAGGCTATAAATATTTGTATTGTGTTAGTGAAATAATAACTACTTTGTGCTTTGGCTGAACTGATTCATATAAAATACTATTTAAATGTAATGAGCTTTTATGTTAAGTTTACACGCAAAGCCTCACATAAACCAGTTTTTTAAAAATTCTCTGAATCTTAATGGATAGAGAGATATTCACATATATTTTTATAATACATGCACTACAGAAGGCAAAAAAGACAACCTCTACTTTATTAATTACATATATTATTACAATAATTGAGAAAGTTATAATAAATCTCTAATAAGAACATGAAACATTTCCAATCTCAACTCATTGCATATTTAATGAAAGCAAAAATATTATACTACTTAAACCAAGAGGCTCATTTCAGGGTTATAAACATTCAGCAGGTTAATTTTGCAAGAGTTAATTGACTTGTTAAACATCATCGAGCGAATGTTACATGTTTCTGTAATATAGATTGGATTCAGCTATCTTCCATGTTGTTAGGTGCCATCTAGTCAAGCATGACTCACAGCAATCCTATGAACAAAAGATCTCAATCGTGCACTATCTTGTGCTATCCTCACACTCCTGACACTCAAGAGCCCTTTGCAGCACTGTGTCTATCCACCTGGTTTGAGGGTCTTCCTCGCCTTCACTGACCCTTCGTCCTTCCCAGCATCATATCCTTCTCTAAGGAATAATAGTCCCTCCTATGAACAAGCCCAAAGTATGTGAAGCGAAGCCACATCTTTCTTTCCTCCAAATAGCACTTTGGCTGCACCCTATCTAAGAAATATTTGCTCATTCTTTTGGCTTGTCCATGAAGGGCCAGCGCTATCTTCCTTAATTAAGGGTAAATGGCACAATATTTGGATGGTTTTACTTTTAGTATTTTATATCAAAGCAATTATCAATTAAGAACATAGAGAATGTTCTACTATTTTTTTTCAGGGAACTAAATTTTGTAATCTGATTTACAAAATTCTTTAAAGACAAGCAAATTCATAAAGCATATGGAAAACATAAGAGTAAGTCACTAGTTAGGCATTTCTGGCAAACAAATTTTTTTTTGGAAAACAAGTGCACACTACAACTTAGATTATGTAATATGGAATGGTATTAACTCATATTCTTAAGTGTATATTTATATGATTAGGAATCATCAAATATATAAATCATGAGGAAAATATTTAAATTTTAGGTAATGTTAATGTTAGTTCTGAATTTACTATGTTGCTATTTCTATGTATCACACAGAACTTCAATTCTTTTCTTGGGGAAACACTGGTCACAACAGATTTTATATTATAAGACACATAAATAATCTACACATCACACATGTGTGTGAACAGGTCACGTTCTGAACCAAAAAAACAGTGATTGTTTATGAATAAAAATTAAAAAGGCTATTTTTCTGCATTCTGTACTCACTTTCCCTGGTTTCTCAAATGCATATGCAATTGGTGAAGTTTCACAAAGCACTTTGTCATTTCACAGGCAGGATTAGTAATAAAATCAGTTATCATATAGCTATGACAAAGACGGCAAGCTTCATTGATTATGGAAAGGTTTGACTGTGTGGACCATAACAAACTGTAGCTGACTCTGAGAAGAATGGGAATCCCAGAACACTTGATTGTGCTAAAGAGAAACCTATACTTGAACCAAGAGGCAGTCATCAGAACAGAGCAAGGAAACACTGCATGGTTCAATATCGGGAAGGGTGTATGCCAGGGATATGTGCTGTCTCCATACTTTTCAACCTGTATGCAGAATAGATCATCTGCGAAGCTGGGCTCTATGAGGAGAAATGCAGCATCAGGATTGGAAGACCTATCAACAATCTGAGATATGCAGATGACACAACCCTGCTTGCTGAAACCGAGGAGGACCTGAAGTGCTTCCTGCAGAGGGTCAAGGACTGCAGTCTTCAATATGGACTGAGGCTCAATGTCAAGAAGACAAAGATTCTCACCACTGGGCTACTTGGCAGCATCAGGATAGATGGTGAAGAGATTGAGATGGTTCACAGCTTTAGTTTGCTTGGCTCCACAGTCAACACTCTTGGCACCAGCAGCCAGGAAATGAAAAAGACACATTACCATGGGAAAGTCTGCTGTTAAGGACCTTTCCAAAGTACTGAAGAGCAACGGTGTCTCTCTGGAGACTAAGGTGCGTCTGATACAGGCCACAGTCCTTGCAGTCACTTGTTATGCATCAGAGAGTTGTACAATGACTAAGGAGGATAGAAGAAGAATTGATGCCTTTGAGCTGTGGTGTTGGAGAAGAGTTATTGAGGGTACCATGGACTGCTAAGAAAACAAACAGATTAATCCTGGAGAGGGTTAAACCAGGCTGCTCCTTGGAGGCAAGGATTCTGAAACTTCGTCAGACATACTTTGGTCATGTTGCAAGGAGAGACCAGTCCTTGGAGAAGGACATCATGCTTGGTAGGGTGGAGGGACAGCCAGGAGGGGAAGGCCCTCCAGTGGATTGATTCAGTGACTAGGGTAATCGATATGAGTGTGTCGTAGACAATGAGATTAGTACAGTACAGAGCAGAGTTTAGGGCTGTTGTACATAGGGTCGCTATGACTCGCAAGCAACTCGATGGCACATAACAACAGCAACATGACTCAAAGTGACCTCATATATATCCCAGTAGGATTGTGTTCCATGGAGATCTTAATGGCTGGTTTTTAGAAACCAGATCACTTGGCCTTTCTTTAGAAGTGCTTCTGAGTGTGCCTGAGTCTCCCACCTGTAAGTTATATTTATCATTTTTACCACAATGAAACTCAGGAATAGAGTGTAGACATTACATGTCTTGGCTTCTCTATTTCTAGATTCTCAGATTAAGGTTTAGTCGGAATATTGAATAAGGTACTGTTTTAAATTTTCATGTGACTATCACACAAACATACATGTATACAGATATGATATATGTGCTGACTGAGTAGATGTAGTAGATCTAATTTTTCTAAATATTTAGCATCCCAATTATGAGTCAGATCGGATGGGTCCTTCCTTTGGGCATGTTGCAAGGAGGAAGCAGTCCTTGGAGAGGGATATCATGTTTGGGAGAGTGGAGAGACAGTGCAAGAGAGGAAGACACTCGATGAGATGGATTGATTCAGTGATTGGGGTGGTGGGAGTAAGTGTGTCGGAGACAGTGAAGTTGGCACAGGATAGAGCAGGATTTAGGACTCTTGTATATAGAGTCACTATTAGTCACAAGTGACTCGATGGCGCGTAACAACAACAACAACAATCTAAAAATATTACAGGAATTTTGAGTAACAGAGTTTGGCATATAAAATACAATAAATTCTAATCTGTGATATTGCAGAATAGGCTGTAATTCAGAAAAAATTCTTTAGCTCTTCCACATCTATGGATTTTTAGAAAGTTAATTATTAGAAAGACCAAGACAATGATTTGTTGTAATATCTAACATTATTCTGCCTTACTTATTACAGAACCTTTATTTTATTTTTTTTTTTTTTT